AATTTTACATTCTAAAATGTGTTTAGGTTATGGGGAATAGGGTTATAGGGCCATTGGATTATAGGGTCATAAAGTCATTGGGTCATAGTGATTCAAGCCTCTAGTTTTGAGAACAGCAATCGAGAGAGCGAGAAATTTTACATTTTAAATTTTACTCAGGTCATTAGGTTATTGGGTCGTAGGGTCGTAGGATTATAGGGTCATGGGAATCCAAGTCACTAGATTTGAGAACGGCAATCGAGAGAGCGGAAAATTTCACGTGTAATATTGTACTGATGTTTTGGGTCAACGAAGACTTTCAAAATTAGGTAATAGTTTTTAGATTTAATCTAAGTATCGGTTGGGTACACGTGACGTTCAAGATCATTAGTTTTACATTAAGCGTTACCTAGGAACAACGATATGAACGTAGTGCAATCTGTTCTCTTTGGGGTGCTTAATTTACGTGAGTCTCCTTGCTTCTCACGTTCGAGGTGCTTCATTTACGTGAGCTCTTTTGCCTCTTATTTTCCGGATGCTAGATTTACGTGGATCCCCTCTCTTTCGTATTCGATGACCAGCATTAATCAGTACGGTATTTTATTTCTAATGCTCTAATTGTTCCCCATTGATCTTTTGACAATAGACTAAGCTATGATAAATCGCAGCAATAGCATTTTAAATCACTTCAGTGGGAATGAGGGCTGATTCATCCACAATCCATTATCGTAATTCATCTAAATCTCAGGGTTTGTTTTGAATATCTAAACCTTTAGATAATTGCAATAAAAGTAATTTAGAGGCGTCAAGTCAGGTGATCTGGTCGACCACTCACTCATTAGTGCCCCTTCGTCCTATCCACCGATCATAGAATACCTCATCTATGTAAGCACAAAAGTCTCTTGCATAGTGAGCTGATGCACCGCCCTGCTAAAACTATATCTCTTCGAAATTGTCTCCAGCTATTTCTCTAATTGTAGGAATTATTTGGTTTGGAAGCAAAACTTCATACTTTTGAGCATTCAAGTTACCATCAATAAAAATAGTCCGATGGTTCTGTTGTTAAGGATTCCTGCCAAAATATTTAATTTCTGCGGATACTGTGATTTATCTTCTCGCATCCAGTGAGGATTTTCATCTGACCAATATCTGGAATTATGCCTATTCAATGTTCCATCAAGTTCGAAAGTTGCTGCATCCGAAAAGGCTATATTGGATGGAAAGATAGAATCATTATCTATGCGTACCATTATATTTTCACAAAATTCAATGCGACGATCAAAATCGTTTTCATTCAATTTCTGAACAAGTTTTACTATGTAAGGATAGAATTTTGCTTTTTTGAGTAGGTTGCATATAGAATATTTACTAATTCCATGCTCTTGAGAGCCTTTGCTGGTGGAATTATGTGCATCTTCAGTAAATGATAATGAAACATCTAGTGATTTCTGCTCATTTGTTGCTGACCTTGATCTGCCTGATCAAGGTAAATCTCTGACATGTCTGAAATTAGTACATTTATGAACAGTATTTTGAACAGTCGATAATGCGATGGGAGTTCTTCCGAACCTGAATGTGACATTAAAAGCTGTCCTTACTTCCCTAAGAGATCTTTGTACTTGACCTCAACATAAGAAGTGTTATTCTTTCTCTTTCAGTGAGGCATTCCATTTTGGCTTTAACGTCTAATCAGTACTTTATTTCTGCTCTACAATGACGACGAAGCTTAAAACGCAGATGAAATTTGGAAAAACTGGTAATCGTAGTCTACTAGTAGATTTGAAAGACTACTTCATTTTTACTTGAAAACTAGTACACTTACAATTAATAAAAATGTTTGTAGGGTAAAAGAAATTGGAATTCGTTACTTTTTTTAGTAACAAGTGACAATGACGAAGTTTCAAGTAGTAACTATGTAGTTGCAATTTTTATCTATTTATATATTATTTTATCAATTTTTTGATTCTTACTTTCTAATTTATTTTTAGAATAAAATATTTTTCTTTTTATTTATGGATCACGTGAATTTTTCGAATAACGTTCTAGACTTTTGAAATGAACATTTTTAATTTAATGCTTTCTTATAAAATTACTTAAAAATGGAATTTTGTATTTCAAAATTGATTTTTGAGTTATCACTCTATGAGCTAAATATTAAATAAATGGTATCTTTAAATGAGGTATCTGAGAGTATATGGCAATCGATAATGATATTTTAAAGTTAGATTACCAGAAACTTACACAAATTCGGCATCTTTATCGTGAGGTGTAAGGAGCTTGAGGCAAATTAAGCACCCTAAAAGGAACAGATTTTACTACATCCACATCGTTATTCCTGGGTAATACTAAATGTAAAAATAATGACCGTAAAGGTCACGTGTACCTAGCTTATATTTGGATCAAACCTCAAAACCATCAGCTAATCTTAAAGGTCTTCGTAAACCTAAAATCTCAGTAATATATTAAACATAAAATTTCCTGCTCTCTCGATTACTGTTCTCAAAACTAGGGACTTAGATCCCCATAACCCAAAGACCCTTTGACCCTATGACTCAATAACCCAATAACCTGAGTACAATTTTAAATGTAAAATTTCTCGTTCTCTCGATTGCCGTTCTTAAAACTAGGCTTGGATCCCCATTACTCATTGACCCTATGATCTCTAACCTAAATACATTTTTGAATGTAAAATTTAAAAAAACAAAGTTGACCTTGAAATATTGAAGGACATGTTCAATGTCAAATTCCAGGTCACCAATCGATTTATCGTGAACAGTTAACCATAAAATGAACTTAACCTTTTCAAAATAATAGTTTACTAGGCTAAGTTTTGGGGGTTTTCGTTACTTTTTAGACACATTGTATAATACTTTTGAATGGTATTGAGGAAAGATAGCTTCAACCCTAGTTTCTTATGGTGCGAAATGGCAGATCATGAGCAGAGCGTAAGTCTATCTTGGAAATAGGATACAATTCAGCCCAAGTTTCTCATAGCGTGGGATGTTCTATAAGTCAAGCGTAAATTATAATAGGAGAGGAAATACATGCATAGCTAATCACAACAGAGAACCAACTCAGGTAGAAGCCAAGTTTATTCGATCTAAAGCACTCCCTTTCGTTTTTACTTATTTACAACAAAAATATTAACGCTCAAGAAATAAAATAGTGTGAAAAATAAATAATGCAGTATAGGTAATTTACGTATAAGTCGCAAATATCGAAAAAATTATAGTTAAAAGTTATTAACCTATTGACTGCGGCTGGCTCTCGGACAAATCCATCTATATGAGCAACACGTTTTTGATTTGTCAGTCGTTGCGAGTAATGGACACTGACAGTAACCAAGATAGTATCCGGAAATTTGATACCATTCTAAGGGTTTAAAAAATAATGGCAGAAATTAAAAATTAAAAATTAAAAAATAGATAAAAAACAGATTTCAAAAAATTAGCATTTTTTACGTTAGAATAGTGTATTTTGAAATTTTGGTAGGACCAATTGGATAGTTACTCACACTCCTGGAGAAAAGGTTGAAAAAGCATCCGTCCCGGACTTTATAAGTTAATAATAATAAATTATTATCATCAATTTTATGCTCATTTTCAACATTACTTTCATATAACATTTATTATTATTATTATTATTATTATTATTATTTATTATGCAACGGTAGTCGATTCAATTAATCGAACCGTTCGCGATTCTGATTTTCGCGCGTTAGTTCTAAGTATTGAGAGAGAGGGGGGGCGCGCGATCTTTTGAATTAGCAGTTACATCTCAGCTGTTACGTGTATAGTACCGCCAAAATAGTTTAGCACAGTGTTCCAACGATTTGCCAATAAAAAAGTTTACTTGGATTTTGGATACGTGTGCAAGGGTGAGCGAGGAAGCAGCAACAGTAGTAGCATCACGGAATCAGCAGCAAAAGCGACAGCAATTATATAGCAGATTTGCAATCGAGGCAGCACAGCTGATTCGGATCTGAGGAGCACCTTTAATTTGCTGCAACAATTACGGCTGATCACCGTAATTGCACCGCAGGGTAGGTGCACCTCCCTTAATTATCGCGTGACAAAATACATTTGGTATTTTGTCCAACAGTATTAGCGTTAATTTTTTGTATTCGCGTCGAGCGTTAGATCGCGCCAATTTTCGTATCTTCTCTCTCTCTCTCTTTCTCACCGAAAGTTATTTAATTGTAAATCCTATTCGCGTGCGTCAGTCTTTCGGCCCGACAAAGACTGTAGAGATTTTTATTAATAAAATCTATTAAACTTATTCACCGAATTCGTCATATAATTTTTCCTAGTAGTTTAAACAATTGGAAAAAGCTTAGGTTTTAATCCTATTATAGCTAGGGGATTAAGTGGATTAGGAGTAAAGTCACTTACACTTAAAACTCATCGTTTGTCACAAGGCACGTGACTTAAGGTGAGTTCAACTCCGCTTGATCGAAGACAACTAAGTTAAATCAGCTGACGTTAAGGTGAATACACGTATTAACATACGTGTTAACGGAGCGGCGGTTTGCTCTGCATCGTGGGAGTTTGCTTTTAAATAAATTTCTCATTTTTGCAGCTATCCTCCCCCCGTTACAATTATTATTATTATTTATTATTATTTATTATTATTACTGATCAATGAATTTTTCTGATATATTTAGTTTTTTTGTTTATTTTGTTTAACGTCGCTCTATTTATGCTCCATCAGTGCTAATCAGCGACGGAGGCTTGCAATGTGTTTGAGAACAAAGCACATAAAACTTTTTTCAGTGGTGCTTGTATCAATCAGCAGGGACTGGGAATCGAACCCGGGGCTACCGGGTGCGAGTCCGTTGCCCTACTGACCGAGCTATTGCAGTCCTCATATATATAGTTATTTAGATATTTATAGCAGGTGATTTCCTTGTTCTTTTACATCTAATATTAAATATACCCTGCTTTCATACAAAAAAATCAGTATTGAATAATTAATATTACAGTTATCTTATGTTCAATTTAACTGTATTATAACTTTTTTAGTTAATATTAAAAGCTCTACATTGTGGACCTCAAGATAAAATGACGATGGAGTTGGCTAATTTTTGGATTCTGGAAAAACAGTTGGTTTACAAACTTTTTAATCCATTAATTCAACGATTTCACAAATGTAATCCGCCATATACGAATTTTTATACATCACCAAGGGATTATCCAGGAATGTACTACAAGAGAGTAATTTTAGAATTGAAAGGTAAGCATTTTTTTATTGTGTATAACTAAATTTGCGAGAATGAAAACTTATATCAAAATTGTTAAAATACTTCGATCTAAAACACGGTATATTTAATATTGGCAAGATATTTTCTATGTCAAAAACATGCAAACACTTGAAGCATTGTATGAAATAAAAATATTTCTGCTATTTATAATACAACAAATTTCCTTTCTTACTATATTAAACGATATATTTATACATTACATAAAAATTTTTAATTTATGAAACTGTATTCTGTTTACTACGTCACTAGTCTCATATTTTAAAAAATGCAAAGAATTTTGAAGATGAGGCAATAACATACAATTCGTAGTGTCGGATGTTTTCTCAGTCTTTTTTATGTACTCATCTCTTTAGAAGTCATTGAAAATAACGTTAATTCAACTGCTTACTATTTAAAAACTATTTTGAAAAATATTTAAAACAATGCTTCTATATACTGGTATATAATATGGTTTCCTTCAGTATGAATTTGGATGAATTATCGTCTATTTTTTTGTCATGAGATTAAAACGATTATTATTAATCTCATCATATAAAAAAAATAATACAACTTTTTATGTATGAAATTTTTAGGTGTCACAGACGTTCCGACATTTAATCTGTAATATTTTGCAATTGATGTATGTATAATTTTTACTATGATTCATTATATATTATGATGGGTGACAACTCGGGCGAGGCGAGTTTGTCCCGTACGAAGGCCTTTTTAACAGCCGAGCGGCCTTAGACTCGGGCGGTAGTCAGACTTTCGGGCACCCCGGCACGTTCGCGCGTCAATAATGAAATCCCTATTAATTGTAATCCGACACTCGATATCGGATTTGTAAAATAATTAATCGAACGTTTATAACAATTTTCGCTTGTTTATAAAAAAAGAAAAATGTAATAGTTTTTCTTTAATGTAATGGGGAAGCATATGGATACTCTTGTAGGCGTTTATATTTATAATATTTATTCTAGTCAGTTTCACAACATAAATAATAAGTCAAGCAAGATAGAGATATATATATATAAATTCTCAGACGCGTAATTTTCACCTCGCGATGTCTATTATTTTTTGGTTACATAAAAAGTGTTACTCACTTCGTATTAATATTGTAAATATAAATTGGTCCGAAATATTGTTTGCTTCGTTATGTGGGCAATCACTCCTTTTTTGAATCTGGTCAGATTAACTGGTCCAATATATTTTTTTATCCAATAATGTGGCAACACACGATAAAATGATAATTCCTTTGATTCTCGTTTACACAAAATTATTGAAATTAATGTACTCGACACTTCTGATACTTAATTATAACTCGAACTCTTATATTCTCAAACTCTTATCTTAAATTATAGATTTAACTACAGTAGGAAAAATGCAGGCTTCTTAGTTGAGCGCTCACTGCTAACTGACTAATCTCTGGTCGTTGTTTTCGCCGGTTCATTATATATCCCTTGTCCCTCGCATTCCGTCTCTCTCTCTCTCTCTCGCACATATGCTTTAGACGTTTACGCTTCTCGTATCGGCTCGTCTTACCTAGCTAAGCACGCTGACTGCAGCATGCTGTCGCAGCATGTTGCCGCAGCGTGAATCAGCCTCTGCCGCTCATTCCCACCGAGTCGCGCACACGAATACTGCTAACTATACTATGTCCGAACGGAAATCTCGAGAGCGAAATATTATTCGACAAAATACAATTATAACACAATGAAACGTCACGTAACATATTATCTGAATTGTTATGAAGGATTCACAAAACAATTCGTGTCATGATCGTAACAATTGATTTTTTATATACGTAATAAGTCTTATTTCACATAACTTTTTCGATAATAATTTGAAAAATAGATATTTTGCTAATATTCACGATTTCTGAAAAGAATACAAAATTTTTCAATATGGGCTATATTTGTTATCAAATGAATATAATAAAATTTATATAAAATTAGGTTTAAAAACACAAAAAAAAAATTTTTTTCTTTAGACCTTCTGGAGCTATGTAATAATCAGGGAGTAAGAGAGAAGGAGACCCCACTCATACAGCGGGCCAACAGAAATCTGGGACGTTTCCACCGGCAAAGATCGCCAGGCTCGCTCATCGGAATAGCTGACACTAACTAGCGTCAGACCCCTCTAGCGAGCGCCATTCGTACTGCGTAGCAGGTTGATTTTATCTACCGTTCCCTGTCAACTGACATGCAACAACGTATATGAAATTATGCTTCAAAACTTTGCTTAATTATGATGACGATATGATTTGAGTTGACATAAATGATAAGTTAGCTATCAAGAGACTCAAACGCCAAATACTATAACCATAAACTTAAACATAAGCCCCTCCCGGCAACTTAAATATAACTTTTGACATTTATACAGTGATATAAACACGTCAGCCGAGAGGCTAAGGTTTCTGCTTTGAATTGTTAGGATTGCCGGTTCGAATCCTAGAGATGAATTTTTTCTTTCGTCATTATGGAGAATATTGGAATCATATAAATACGTAAAACTAAATTGAAAATGCAAACATATAATTATTGATTCTGTATTTGAATGATAAAGCACATACAAATGAAATTTTTTGAAGATAATATTTAAAAAAAAATTAGCATAGACTTTCGCCATTTTTTCCTGTACCTATTGAAAATATAAAATGATAGAAAACGTCCATGAACATTTAAAGAGTTTACTGGGGCATTTTTATCAACAATTTGATATATTTATCCTTAACTGAAATGCGTGCCACAAAAACTAAGCTTTAGCGTTTTTAACACGAATGCTGAAAAAAATAATAACACTATGGTATTATACAAAAAATGAAAAATATTGCCGGTTAGAAACATATAACACATTCTTCAAAATATAAGTTCATTGCGCTTGAAATTCAAATAAGTAAAACTAACGCATCAACAGACTGTGCTGTGAGTCCGTTTAATCGATATAAAAAATCACTTTATTTTCTATATTTTTCAAGAGCTACTGAAAATTATTTTCAATAATGCGATCTTTATTTGAGATCTACTTTTTTGTAATACGATATCATGATATTTTTCGTATATGTATAGATAAACGAATGTTGCAGTGATGTTGTATAAGAAAAATATATTTAAAACAATGGAAATATTATATGAACATGTGTGTGTGTAAAGAGGAACATCTGATAGCTTGTATGAGCGAAAAACTTTCGCCTATTTGAAATGGTAAAAATTATCATCTAAAATAATGTCGAATGAAAGGGTTGAAAAAGATATTAATGCTAATTTGTCAAATATTCTTTATCATTTTCTACCACTATATACACCTCAAATAACAATCGAAAAAACGTCCGAAGACGCAGTGAAATTTATTTTTAGCTATTGTAGGCTTAAAAAATTATACTATATCATATTACTGTCATTCATTTCAAGTCATTGAGTTTCCATTAAATTATTGTATTTATACAATTTTTTTTTGTTTGATAGGTATACGACAAACAAGCAAGTCAGAATTAAAATCAAGTCACTAAAAAAACTTAGACTATGCACTAAATTTTAATTAATTGTATATCTACAAACAAATAACAGCGGTGTACGAACTCACGTTGCCGATCGAAAATTTACGGAAAAATGCGTTAACAGTGAGATATACGAGGTGTGATCAAAAAGTAAGGTGAATTTTGAAATTTAGCGGGCTATGTTCGTTCGATCTTCGACTTTTTTATTTGGTTATGTCGGTACACTCGTCTAGAACATACGTTCCAAATTTCAGCTTTGTAGTATGTTTGGTTTGTTTGTGAGAGGCATCAAGATTAGAAGTGTTTTGCGTGCTCCACGATTTGCTGCTGTCTAAAAACATGGATCAAAGAGTTTGCATTAAATTTTGTGTGAAAAATGGAATCAAATGTTCCAAAAAACTTGAAATGCTGAAAGTGGCATACGGTGATTCTACTTTAAGCTAAAAAAATGTTTACAAGTGGTATAAACTCTTTCAAGAAGGCCGAGAAGACATCGACGACGAACCTCGTTCTGGACGCCCCAGCACATCAACAACTGATGAGAATGTTGAAGAAGTGAAGAAAATAGTGTTGGGAAATCGTCGAATTACCATTAGAGAAATTGCTGATGATATTGGCATCTCATTTGGTTCGTGCCAATCAATTTTAACGAGTGTTTTAGACATGAGACCTGTGTCAGCGAAGTTTGTTCCGAAATTGCTCAATTTCGACCAAAAGAAACGTCGCATGAGCATCGCCCAAGAGCTACTGAATGACGTCAACGATGATCCAGATTTACTCAACAGGGTTATAACAGGTGACGAAACATGGGTATATGGTTATGACGTCGAGACTAAGACTCAATCGTCCCAGTGGAGGCATTCTGGATCACCAAGACCAAAAAAAGCACGCCAAGTTCGATCAAATGTAAAGGTTTTGCTTACAGTTTTCTTTGACTGCAGGGGTGTGTTGCATCATGAGTTCTTGCCACAGGGTAGAACAGTAAATAAGGAATATTACCTGCAAGTTATGAGCAATTTGCGCGAAGCAATCCGCCAGAAACGTCCGAATTTGTGGAAAAATAAAAATTGGCTTTTGCACCATGATAACGCCCCTGCTCACACATCGTTGCTTGTGCGCGAATTTTTGGCTAAAACCAACACAGTAACGATGCCATAGGCACCGTATTCCCCAGATCTGGCCCCCTGTGACTTCTTCTTGTTCCCAAAACTGAAGAGGCCCATGAAAGGACGGCGTTGTGCCACGATTGAGGAGATAAAGACGGTATCGAAGGATGAACTAAACAAGATCACAAAAAATGATTTGAGGATTGGAAAAAGCGTTGGCACAAGTGCATTATATCCGAGGGGGATTACTTTGAAGGAGATAAAATAAAAATTGATGAATAAATAAATATTTTTTGAGAAAAATAAAAATTCACCTTACTTTTTGATCACACCTCGTATATCTTACTACGAATTTCTCAAAATATGACTTTTTTTAATTTCGACTGAATTG